GCAACCAAGGTACATGCCCTTAGCAGGAACCGAACCCAGGCTTCTCTGGACCGCAGGCCGATGTTCTAACTGCTGAACCAAACCGGCCAGGGCGAATGCTGTCCCTTTAAAAGAGTGCGGTGGCCTTCTGTGTTTATAACCCTTAAATCCCACGGTTCAGGCCCACATTTTCCATTCTTGCTCCACACACCCCTTCTCACCCTTGGTTTAGATTTGATTTTTCTTTACTTAAGAAGAACAAGATTTATGACTAGACAGAAGCCAGCAGGCCCCAATATTTAGGAAAAAAATAAAATAAACGAACCCTAGTCAGCCAGAGTGAGCCCTGCTCTGGCCCCACCGGGTCATCTGAAAGAGGTCACCCAGATATGACACTGCAGCTTGCGCTTGTCTAGAAAGTATCCAGTTGTCTTGCTGCTGCTTCTACCTGTTGGCCCTCACGTCACTCCTGAAGGCCCCTCTAAAGTGTGTTGGGAAGAAAAAGAAGGCTAGTCATTTATACATTTCTGGAACGCGTGTTTAGTGAGCATGCCGTACGTGCTGGAGATGGAGAACTGTCAGGCTCTGGGAGCTGAATACGGACTATTGCCTAAACAGACATGTCCCGTCCCCAGGCAGGTGGGTGGGTCACCGAGTCCCACGATGAGTCAGGCACCCCCTGTGAAGGTCTTGATGACTTTTTTTCACTTACTACTCATAAAAAAACTGTGAGAAAGTTCTTAATCTTATTTTGTGGATGGGATAACTGAAACTCCCAGAGGTTGAGTGACCCGAGTAAAGTCACTGACTGATACCAGGGAGAGCCGGTGCTCAGATTTGGGCTTTCTTAGCCCAAGGCTGTTGATTGCATCCTGGAGTCTTTCCAAATGCGTGCTCTCATGTCAACCCAGATCGATTCAAGTTCTCTTTTTCAGTTTCCCACATGCCATGGTTTGACTTAGAAAGGTTATCTGGTACAACCCACAACAGATATTGACTATCTAAAAGTAGTAACTTTAAGGGTTTATTTACTCTTTATGGAGGCTCAGAGAAGAGCATGGGAAAATCTTCGTGAGACCGGTGGTGTGGGCGGCGTGTCTGGACTGAACGGAGATGAGAGGAGCTCAGAGAGGTGATCCAGGAATTCCCTAAGGCTGACCCTGACTCAGTAAGTCACCGGGTCGGCTTGAAATGACTCAGTTGTGGCATGGGGTCGAACAACCTCAGTCCCTCACTGAACTATCGGGAAGCAGGCCAGCGGGCCGTGTAGTGCCTCCTGGGAGAATAACCCTAATTACACTCCCCAGAACTTGCATACCTGTCCACAGTTTACAAAGCACTGTCCATCTGCTTCTTCATTTGCTGACTGTTTACTGTACAGACACAGAAGGGACCAGGGTTTGAAATGACCCAGCGTAGTAGTTTGTATCTATTTTTTAAAGTAAATTTCTTCGTCGAAATGAAATCTCACATGGTGGTCTAGTGTATAAGAAAGATGTGAGGGGAGTGTCCGTGGTTCCGATGGAGGCCGAGGTGAGGGAGGCACAGCCAGGCTCAAGTCTTTGCTTGGACCTCTGTGTCTGTTTCTGAGAGGTCTCCAAGGAAGCTCCAAGTTCCTGAAACACAGTAAGACGAGCATTGCTTCACTCCCCTCCTCCGAAAAAGGAAAGCCGAATGCCCTGGAGGGAACGTGTTCAAGGGAGTCTTTCCATGGAATCCACAGGGCTGGTTTCTCACAAGGTTAACGCCCGAGGATCCGCCCGGGAACCAGTTAGCCCTCCAGTTGTTTCAAGAAAGTGTCTTCTTGGTCACAGACAGCAGCAGGGTTAATTCTGTCACTGAGAACCTTTTTCAAAGTGTCTGCTCTTCAGGTGGGGCTCAGCAGCACTGTCTTCATTTCAGACAGGCCACCTCTGGAGCCATGGAATGCCAGCCAAGCGGTGGGGCGTAGGTCCAGTGATTTTTTTCAGTCCCCCTATCGGGACAGGGCTCTCTCCAACTCAAAAACTGACATTGACCTGGATGGTGGTTGTTATTAGCTGAATGTTTATTTTCCTCCAAAATTAATAACGTTGAAATCCTAACCTCCCAAATGTGATGGTATTAGGAGGTGGGGTCTTTGGGAAGAAATTAGGTCATGAGGATGGGGCCCTTCTGAATGGGATTAGTGCCTTTATAAGAAGACACACACAGCCCTGGCCGGTTTGGCTCAGCGGTTAGAGCGTCGGCCTGCGGTCCTGAGAGATCTGGGTTCGGTTCCCGCTAAGGGCATGTACCTCGGTTGCAGTTTGTCCCCGGCCCTGGTCGGTTGTGCAGGTGACAACCACTCGATGTGTTCCTTTCACATTGATGTTTCTCTCTCTCTCTCTCTGTTCCTCTCTCTCCCTCCCACTCTACCTGAACAAAAAAAAATGGAAAAATGTCCTCGAGTGAGGATAAAAAAAAAGAAGACCCACACAAGAGATTGTGCTTCCGCTTGCTGCCTCCCTCCCTTCTTTCCTCCCTCCATCATGTGAGGTTAGGAGAAGATGGCCATCTGCAAGCCAGGAAGAGTGTTCTCACCAGAACCCACCACAGCCCTGATCTCAAGCTTCCCAGCCTCCTGAACTGTGGAAAGTAAACTTCTGTTAAGTCACCCAGTCTATGGCATTCTGTGATGTAGCCTGGACCAAGATAGTAGTGGTGGCCGCACAATTTTGTGAATGTACTAAAGGCTACTGAATGCTTAAAATGATCAGTTTTATATTATGTGTATTTTAGCACAAACATCACAACAACAATATAATAAAACTTACATTGGCTCCCTCTTTCCTAGGGATCACATTCAAACTTCCCAGAATAGTTTACAGTCTGGCCCCTGCTTACATCTCTAGCCTCATATCTTGTGTGTCCCTCAAACTCTTCATCTGATCAAACGTGCAAGTCACTCCAAACTGCTCTCCACCACCTCAACCAGCCATGCACGTTCATGTCTCCAGCTTCACTCACAATTTTGCTGTTAGTAGTAATAGCAAACACGTATACATAGTGCTTACTATATGCACATATACATATACATCTAGTGCTTAATAGATGCAGAACTTTTGGTTCATGTAATCTTCACTAATTCTATGAAATATACTGTTATTAACCCCATTTTAAGCTTGAGGAAATCCAGGCACCGAAAGGCTAATACACAATGAGTAAGCGGCCAAAGCCTTGCTATTGATCACTATGGAACACTGCCTGTGGATGCTCTGCCCCTGTGGTTTCTTCGGAAGAATTCCTTCTCCTTCTTTAAATATCACTTCCTCTGTGAGGCCCCCCTTGATGTTCCCTAGGAAAGGGTGCAAGTCTTTTTTCTAGGATCAGTAGTACTCTGTACACATATGTTGTGTGGTAACAGCCTGCTCATGGGTCAGATTCCCTACCAAAGTATGAGGCCCCTAAAGACAGGGCAGGTCTTATTTCTTCTGATGCCTTTGAGCGCTCATTACATATTTGATCAATTAAAAATGTCTGCGTGTGCCTGGTGCGTGTGGCTCAGTGGTTGAACGTCGACCCATGCACCAAGAGGTCACCAGTACAATTCCTGGTCAGGGCACATGCCCAGGTTGTGGGCCCGATCCCCAGTGGGGGGCGTGCAGGAGGTGGCCAATCAATGTTCTCTCTCATCAATGTGTTTATCTTTCCCTCTGCCTTTAAAATCAATAAAGAAAAATAAATAAATAAATAAAATAATTAAAAAAAATGGCTGAGTGCATTTTCTCTCCCTCATTCTATTTCTTTGGATAAATAACAACATCAAAGGGGAATTGTGTTTCCTCAGAAATTGAAGCATGGCTCTATCAGGGTCTGGCCACAGTCGCTGATAACCACTATCGTTTTCTCTGTATCTCACCAGGCAAGAAGTCCATTCAGATTTACTTTTAGTAGTCCACATTAACAATAAATACTGCTTCTGAATTTCAAATATTAAATCACAGTATATTAGAGGTAGATATGAAATGATAATGCAAATATGGTTTTCAAACTCAAAATGCCTCCCTGAAGAATATGACAATCTCCTTCCTTCTTGAGAATTTCTGGGTAGGATAGACGGGGAAAGGGGATTAATGTTTGCACAGACAGGAGTATAAACGTGAGCAAGAGAGGGTGGACGAAAGCATGGGTGGATGAGAGTATGGATAAAATGATGAGTGGATAGGTGGATGATCGATGGACTATGCCTGGATACATCGATGAACAGATATGTAGGCGATGGATGCAGAAGAGGATGTGGGTTTACGAAGAAATGTGATTGGATAAATGGATGGCCAGCAGGACAGATGGGTCTGTGGGCCCTAAAGGGATGTAAGGAAAGATGGGTAGATGGATGAACGGGTGGATGGAGGAATGTTAGTGAGGGTGGATGAGTGTGTGGGTGAAGGGGTGGATGAATCCAGGTGCCAGCCTAAGACTGGAGGGCACACATGGGTGAGTGGAACCAAACGCGAGCCCCCTGGCTGACCATCAGCTTCCTCTGAGCAGCCCTAATAAGCAGTAAAACTGCACCTGAGCCATGTGGACTTCCTGCTCTTCGGGGGAAGAAGAATGAGCTCTTCCTCTCTGCCAGGAGGAGTCACAGCCCTCCTTCCCCAGGTGGGCAGCAGGCACCACCGTTCCAGCTCCTCTCCCAGAACATCCAGCTGCCTGTAGAACCCAGAGAGAATCACCCCGGCCGGATTCAAAGAGAAATTTAGCGGGAAGGAGAGGCTGGATCCAGTGGGGTGAAGTTTCAGGACTCAGTTGTCTTCCTCCCCGAGGCTGCTGTTCCAGCCGGCGGGTGAGCGGCCCGGAGAAGAAAGCGGTGCGTCCCGGGCTCACCGGCACCTTGCCGCCGCCGGGCGCCCGCCCGGGAAACCCCGACCTGCGATCTACGTAGAGAAGGAGGAGGGGGCACAGGGGCCTGCGCAGAGGAGGGCTGGTACGTCTTTAAACCTCTGCCCGCTGCTTAGTCACAGCCCCCTCGCTTGGGTGTGTCCTTGCTCGCTCCCTCCTCCCTCACTCTTAGGTCACTCTTTCATCCCTGGAATAAAAACGGCAGCCAACTTCCGAGGCGCCCTCACTGCCCAGCCAGACCCCAGCCTCTGACAGGTCCGGGCTGCCCTCCTTGCCCTGTCCTTTCCGGTCCCCAGCCCAGCGCGCCAGGACCCTCCGGCTTCGCTCGCTCGCTCTCTCCCGGTTCGCTCCGACTCGACACCATGGACAAGTTTGGGTGGCGCGCAGTCTGGGGACTCTGCCTCGTGCAGCTGAGCCTGGCGCAGATCGGTGAGTGCCCGCCCGCCGGGGCCGCGGGAGGGAGTGGCACTCGGAGGGTCAGGACCGACCGGCCGCCGCGCCGCCTGCTCGCCCAGGGAGCAGAACCAGGGCTGCGTGCGGCGTGGATTTGGTTAAGGAGAGCTAGGATGTGCGCTAAGCTGTTGGAGAGTTTGTTGGTAGAAGTGCCGTTTTGTTGAAAGGAAAAGAGAAAGAGAGAAGAAAGTTTGCCGGGCAGGCTGCCGGCGCGCAGTTTGGGGCGAGGTCTCCAGAGCCTGAGCACAAGGCGGAAAGTAACTGTACTCCTGGGCGCGCGCAGCGGGTGTCTGCACCAACAGGCTCCTCCTGTCCCAAAGGCGCTCAGAGCCTGGCTGGGCTGGCGCGGGGGACAGGGCAGGGCTAGGCGGGCAGGGGCTGTCAGCCAGGTGGCTATGGCGGTGGGCACAGTTGCATGTAACAGCTAGTGGTAATGAGCTTTCCAGGAAGGGGCCCTGGTTTCCTGAGGCTGCTCACTGCGCCTGGGTTTCAAAGCTCTTACAGTTGGCTCCCGTCGCCCACTATCTTAGCGCTGGTGGGAACTTGAACCAGGTCTGTGGGGGAGGTTCTGGGTCTCCAAGAGGTGCCAGCCAGGGGCAGGGAGTGTGAGTCGGAAAAGGCAATGACTGGGCAGCTGCTCAGCCCTTGTAAACTCCTGTTTCTGCCAATCAGTTAGGGGAAATCCAGACAGTAATGTGGCTAATATTTCCTGCCTGGCAGCCTTAGAGAAAGGCCAGGAGCCTGGGCACCAAGTTTGCATCAGGGACCCTGGAGCTGGGGCTGCCAAAATTCCATCCCGACGGGGTCTGCCTTGCAGTGGTTGTGGAGGGGAAGGCTGTGTGTGAGGTATTCTGGCGAGGCTCAATTCCAAGGGTTTCTTTTCTTTGTCTGTATATGTACAGATAATTACATGGCTGATTTGCTTATCACTAGGAAAATTAATTTTTCTTTTAAGAAGTGCCAGCTGGGTCATTAAGACAACTCAGCCTATGGTTAATTCTACTCAGCAAGTGTTTATTAAACCCAGCTCTGGGGGGTACCAAGAAAGTAAAAGACACCGGGTGCTTTAGGCTGAGGATAGGTGGGGATCTACGGTTTAGATTCCTGAAATAGAAATAATAATAATAATAATAACAACAACAACAACAACAACAGGAATAACCACACTAGCAAGTTGCTTTGCACACCTTCGCTATGCCAGGAACTGCGCCAAATTCTTTACATGTGTTAGATCATTTCACTCTCATGCTGGCCCAGGGAGAAGTGCCCTGTTATTAGCCTGTTTTACAGGAGGGACAGGAACTGAGGCTCAGAGAGGTTAAATGACTTGCACGTGTCCACACAGCCAGAGGATTAGTGCTCCTGTGAACCCAGGCTCATTCACCGTGCTTAGTCCGAATGTTAGACTGTGTGTACGGCATGGACAAAACCAAGAAGGTTTTGGGGGAAGGAGAGGTTGGGGTGGGCCAAAGGCCTTAGCAGAGGCTGAGGCTGGAGATCCAAAGAGCCCTCGAAAGTCAGAAGCACTTGGGATGGGAGAGAAGAAGGAAACCCGAGCGCGGGGAGAGCCCTGGGCCTGGCCTGGGAGAAGAGGGGCTGCTGGGGAAGTTCACTTGTGTGTTACCTGCCCGTCAAGGCTCCTGCTTTGTTTCTGAGGATTCTGACTCCTGACTCCCGTCAACTTGTTTGCCTGTTTCTTTGAAAGGACCACATCCCCAAATATCTGGTGCTGTCCTGACCCTTGAGGTTCTCCCAGAAACCAGCCAGCTCACTCTTGCCCCAAGTTTCCATGGTCCCTTTGGGCAATGACATTTGGAGGAAGCACAGAAAAATGCCGGTAGCAATAACTGCCTGGACCCAGGCTCTGATGTGCTTGGAAAGTTGTTTGGAGGAACTAAGACTCGGGAAGGAGAGAGACATAACTTCCCAGTGGGCCGGGGCTGGGCAGGCAGAGAGCGGAAGGAGAAAGGGGAGTGGGGAAAGAAAGGCACTGTTGTTACCCCACTGGGGGGGGGGGCTCCAGAAGACAGAGAGAACTTGGGAAAGGGACAAAGCTTTGGGGAGGAAGAAAGGTCCAATCTCTGTATGGGAAAGCAAAAAGTAAGAAATGGCTAAATGTAGTTAAACGTTATTGGTCACAGAAACCCAGGGCTGGGAAACAGACCTTGAACGAGGTGACATATGGGAGAAAGAACGTGGCCGTGGGTGAAGGACAGGCGGGTGAGCCCTCCTGCACACATCTGTCTCCTCCTCCTTTCCGCTGTGGGCCGGAGGTGATTGCTAGGGGATCCCACCCATGGGGTTGGGAAAGAGGGGTGCATCTGAGAGCTCTGCGGCTTGGGGCTGGTTGTTGCCCTCTGTTGCCTCTGAGCATTAGAGACCCCTCTTGGGCATTAGATCTGGCTGTTTTCCCAAGTGAAGGAGCAAGGCAGCAGAGCCCCATCACTGCGGACGTTAGCGTCCGTTAACTTAGTCATTCCCCAGAGACACATTGGACGTCTACTTCCTACAAAGGCAGGGTGCCAGGTAGGCGTGTTTGAGGCTGGCAGCCAGAAGGAAAAGTTTCTTTTTCTTCCAAATTGCACCACGTAGGAGGGGATGCTGGGCAGCATGGCATTCTTAGTTTATGACAGCTCCCTTCCATTCATTCAAGAAGTATTACTTGACTCATTATCATAGACTCAGAGACGGGACTCCAAGGATCATTCAAAAAAAACCCTTCTTTTCCCTTGGAGGAAAGAGCTCCTGAAAGAGAGAGGAATGCCTTCCCCTCTCTCTGCAAGTGTTCGGGAGGGACACTGTCTATACTTAGGGTCTCTGAAATACCACTATCATCAGCGACTGTCATGAGCCCCACCTCTATCCCCTGCAATGGGTCAGCTGGGTGTGGTCTACTGGTGTTTCATGCCTTAAATAGTATCTTAAAGATGCATGACGCCCTGGCCGGTTTGGCTCAGCGGTTAGAGTGTGGGCCCGTGGATCAGAGAGTCCTAGGTTCGGTTCTCGTTAAGGGCACGTACCTCGGTTGCAGTTTGTCCCGGTCCCAGTTGGGGTCGTGTGGATAGCAACCACTTGATGTGTCTCTCTCGCATCCATGTTTCTCTCTCTCTCTTCCTCCCTCTCTCCCTCCCGCTCTTTGTGATGATAAATGCAAAAATGTCCTCGGGTGAAGATTAAAAAAAAACACTCATGACGATTTTTTATTTTACTCCTCAATATACCCAGTTTGAATTTAACATAAGAAAGATGAGAAATATATTTCTTACCATGAAGCAAAGTTGATGTTCCACAAAGAGTTTCTGTACTGCCCGGGGCTTCCAGGGCCCCCTGGATCCCTTTGAGTTAGGAGCACCCCCGTTTTAAAAGCCTGTTTCACTACATGCTCTCTTCAAAAGTAGCATCCAAAGTCCCCGGGAAGTACACTACTGAGCACCCACTCCATGTGAGGCATTCAGTGAGGGGGTTAGCGTCGGTGATCTTGTAGACACCTCACCGCAGCCTGTATACATTTAGCACTGTCTTAACTCCATTTTCTAAACAAAGGAATTGATGCTCAGGGAGATGACATGACTTTCCCAAGGACACACAGCCAGTAAGTGGTGGAGTTGGGGTCCCCCCCATGTTAGACTCCAATGCATATGCTCCTTTGCCTCATCACTTTGCTTCTGGCGGACTTTGTAAATTGCGTGTGTTTCTTCCACTCTCCATCCCTGTGGCCAGCGAACGTGGAGCCTGGCATGAGTGTCCTCTCCGCCCCGCAGGCTGTGGACTCTTGGCTGCCCCGCCCTCCCCTCGCCTGTCTCTCCTCAGGTTTGGCCACAGCTGTCAAAAGATACTAACCTAGTTATTTGTGACTAAAATAAGTCACCGCCTTATCAGAGTCCAGCTGCCCTTCCAGACATGCTCTCATTTGCAGGCTTGGAAAAAAGGGAGAGGCTGCTCCTTGTCTCCGAGACAAGTTGGGACAATGCCCTCCACCTGGAAGTTAAGGAAGAGGCCCCACACAGGCCCTCAGCAGACCCCGCCAGCAGCGAGACGCCCTGACCCAGAAAGCGCCCTCCGCCGCTCACCGGCAACCCTCAGCGTTCAGCAGGTTGTGTGAGCCTCAGTGAGGGAAGGTCTTGAGGACCCAGGATGACACAGTTCTCAAAAGCCAAGGGTCTTGAACTAAAATCCATTGTGGAGCTCCAGGTGACATGTGAGCACCCACGTAAGATTTCAGCTCAGCCTGTGATGTCAGAAATTCCAGGCTGGGTCCCCTGACAGAGCCAAGTGGTGGCAGATAAGCTGGGTCTCTGCGGCAGCCTGTCTGGGTTAAGCTGGGGCTGGGGCTGGGCTGGGGCTGGGCTGGGCCTGGGGCTGGGGCTGGGGCTGGGGCTGGGGCTGGGGCTGGGGCTGGGCTGGGGCTGAGGCTGGGGCTGGGGCTGGGGCTGGGCTGGGGCTGGGGCTGGGGCTGGGCTGGGGCTGGGCTGGGGCTGGGGCTGAGGCTGGGGCTGGGCTGGGGCTGAGGCTGGGCTGGGGCTGGGCTGGGGCTGAGTCTGGGGCTGGGCTGGGGCTGCGGTTGGGGCTGGGCTAGGGTTGGAGCTGGGCTGGGGTTGGGGCTGGGCTGGGCTGGGGATGGGCTGGGACTGGGGCTGGGGCTGGGGTTGGGGCTGGGGCTGGGGCTGGGCTGGAGCTGGAGCTGGGGTTGAAGTTGTGTTTTCCCAGTATCCCCAGTTTAGCTGACTCCACCCAGTGCCTGAAAGGGAAGTGGCCCTTGTAAAAGAATGAGTGAAGCAGGTGGCAGATGCTGCCAGACAAAGCAGTTCTCAAAGGGGATCTTTTCTGCCTCGGAGAAATTCTGGGGGTTTGCACAGCAAGAAACTGATGACTCAGTTTCCTTTGTGTTGTTGCCTGAATGGGAAGCACACAAATAAATGTTCTTTAGAATCGCCTTGGTAGGCTACTGCGTCCTACCTTAAATTAAACCCCACTTT